GGGTGTCTACCGAATGATATTACTACTACAGTGCAAGTGTTTGATATTTGCTAACCCAGTACAAAATTGGTTAACCATTAATGCCGGTGGCCCCATTGACAGAACGGCTCTGCACAATTTCAGAGCTTTCTTTATCTCCTTGCCGGCACCACAATTGCTGACAGCACAAACCATGTTGTGGATATGTAGCAACAATTATTTATGGGCTGTCTCCTGCATAAACAAAGCTTTTACTTCTTCCGTGGTTTGCCCTTTACTCTCACAAATTTTCTGGTAGACTTGTCACCACCACTGCCCAAAGAGAAGCTCCCGCCAGCATTAAATTCCAGACTAGTGGAGGCCTGGAATGTAGTCTGGAACTGAGATGGGTTCGGTTGGGCGGATATATTCTGTTGGCCTCCAAATTGGAAAGTATTTGATACTGAAGGAGGTGTTGCCCCAAAAATGAACCCAGATGACGGTGGGGTTACTGGCTGTTGACCAAATACTGATAACGGAGCTGTGGTTGCCTGAACCGTGTCCTCTGCCATGCTGTCTTCCATCTGGTCATTATTACTGGTCGGAGCTGAACCAAATGCAAATCCAGGAGTACTGCTACCAAATGCAGGTGGTGACGGAGTAGCAGCCGCTACCACAGTGAATGGAAAAATGGAACTTGATGAGGCACTGTTGGATGATCCAAAAACCATAGGCACACTTGTACTCCCAGCAATAGAAGTTGATGATGCACCAAAGGAAAACCCCGATGGAGATGATGTAGAATTAAAAGTCGAACTGAAGATAGGAGCCTTAGCAGCTTGCCAACCGGAACCAAACAAGCTAGTAGTGGCACCACTGGTGCTAACAGCATTGCTAACTGAAGAGGAAGAACTGACTCCAAATGTAGCCCCAGAACCAAAAGATTGTACCACAGAAGCTGAAGAACCAAATAGCGAAATCCCAGAAGATAATGCTGTGTTCCCTGCCGCTCCAAATGATGGAGATGAACCAAACTGAATAGGCATGCTCTGAGTTGAGGTTGCAACAGCACTTCCAGCTGCAGATGGCTGGCTATCACCAACATTAAAAGCACTGGCACCCTGGGACTGGGCAAGGGAGGGGGCTGTAGATGAAGCACTGAATCCAAAAATGCTTCCTCCCATGCTTGTGCTTGCAGATGAACTGGAAAAAATACTACCAGTGGTAGTGGTTGCTGAAGATGTAACACCAAAAATGTTACCCGTGCTTGGAATGGGGGGAGATATGCCAAAAATGCCACTGCCTGCTTTTGTGGTTGTAGAAGACAGACCACTGAAACTGCTAATTCCAGTGCTTGGAACTGCAGAAGATGTGCCACCAGAAGTGCTACTTGCAGCGCTCATGACTGCAGAAGATGTAAAACCAAATATGCTATTACTAGAGTTCGTAAATGCTGAGGTACCAGCAACGGGAGCACTTGCCAAGTTTGGAACCTTGTTCTGGGCTTCAGTTGTTCCACTGGAACTTGCAGTTTGCAGTGATGATGGATTCACTGGGGAAGCAAATTTGAAGTTGGTTGCACTTGTAGAGGAAGGCGCTGAAGCCAGAGGGAAGGCACTGTTTGTGCTGGTGGAAGCAGTTATTCCACTTGCTGGAGTGGTGACGGCAGCAGCAGAATTGAATGTGGAAATGGCATTCACAGAGCTGCTGGATGAACATTGACTGGCAGGATTATTGGAAACTAAAGGTTGAGTTTGGGAAGAGAATGGAGAAGGGCTTGAAGCAAGAGATCCATTAGAACTATTTGCTGCAAGACCAAACTTGAATATGTTTCCAGCTGATACTGATGTTGATACAGCAGCAGAACTTGCAGTTTCAGGTGCATTAAAGAAGAATTCAGACTTCAAAGTATTCTTGTCATCAGCCTTTTCCAATGCAGCAGATTTTGCCACATGATTGGCAGCGGTAGCAACAGATTCAAAGCTGCAGGAGAACAGGAAGTGAAAGGTCTTAGAAGATTGTACTTCTTTTTTTTTTTTGGTAAATAGAAGACTGTACTTCTGAACAAGAAAAGATTGGTTCTATTTCTGCCTGTCTTGCTCTCACAAAGAAGAAGAGACAAAGAAGAAGAAAACCTTCCATTTTCTATTTTGTTTAAAATCCTTATAAATAATCCAGAAATAAGACAAAAAGATTACAAAGTACTCGCTACTCAGTGTCAAATTCAAAAGACAACCATTTCAGAAAAAAGGAAGCCAGAAACCTACCAAGCAATATTTATTTAAAATCCTAATATATGTACTCAAAAATGAAAAAAACAAATTGATCATATTCAAAACACACTTATATCAGAAAAGAGGAAGACAGCAATCTACCAAGGCACATATGTTAAGGAAAGAAAAGAACAGACCTGTTTGAGTTTCCTTGTTTTGAATCTGAGCAGGCATCAAACTTAAAGCTTGGAGTTTCAGTGATAGATTGAACTTTGTTGACACTTGCAGAGCCACGGGAAAATGTAGGAATAGTAGCATTTTGTTCCTTTGATAGGCCAGTTTTCTCCCCAGAGCTAAACATTGGAGAAGTGATATTTGATTCCCTAGAAAAAGCTTTATCAATTGTTGAAGTTGACGGAGAAATCACAGGTTGCAAAGAAGTGGTGGGCAAATTTGCAGCAAAAGTAATGCTGGAGTCCTTTTCAGTGATCATGGAACCATCATGACCTCCTGAATCAGGGTTTTGATTCAATGAAGAACTTGTAAGTGGCTTAATTTCTGAAAGAGTAGGAGACTTCTCCACCTTTATGGCTTCAGGTGCAATGTTCTTACTCCCAATAAGCGAAACACCCAACTCTCTCTCTACCCCAATTGAAGTAGATGCAGCTCCATTAGGAAGATAGTCATCATCATCATCATCGAGATCCAAAGAATCCTACAACAGAGAACAATAAATTAAAGGAAATATAAACAAAAACAGAATAGGCAAGACAATAGGAAACTATTCAATTCCAAAAGAGGTCTGCAATTTCCCATCATTGAGGTCATAACAAGTTAACAACAAGCTTAGAATGATAAAGGCACCATAAATATATTTAATACAAAAACTTGTTCTTTAAGTGACATCTCCCACCTAAAATAAAAATTGGAATATGAAGATAATGGGAAAAAAAGAACATACCTCATGTGCACTCATCTGGAAAGCCCGTTTCATTTGTTGAGGGAGGTGCAGCATAGACTTCATCACAAGGACATCAGAAGCACTAGCACTAGGCACATTATCCTTGAACAAATTAAAAGCACCAATACCATTCACCAAAGGAACTGACTTATCTGGAAGAGCAACCACTTTTGTTTTGCCAATTCCTTCAACTTTATCCTGCTTCTGAGAAGAGGAATCTCGGATGTCAGGCAGTGTGTCACCATGTAAACACTCCAACTTATTCTTATCCTGCGAGTTCTCCAGGAATTTTGATGAATCCACATTCTCCAGGCTTTTAAGGGCTGGCCCACTGAGCATGGATGGTGACAATTTTGTAGGTGACTTTTCCCTTGTAGTAGAGACCAACTCATTAAGTTGCTGCAATATTTTTGAAGCCATCTGACTGGACTTCGATGGTACAGGTGTAAAACTTGCACCTGGGGTGCTGTTAATCCCATTCTCAGTTGATGTTTTTGTAAAGGTATCCTCAATCTTTATCAAAGATAAAGATTTTTGAGCATCTGAACCAGATCCACCTTCATGGATAGAAAGAGGACTGCCAGAAACTGGTAAACCCGAACTTCTTGGAGAAAGAAGATTAGATTTCTGGCGTATCCTACGAATAGGACCAACAGATCCAATATCATTGTCTAACCTGCGCTTTAAAGCCTGCAAAAGAAGAATTAAATCTTTGGATGCTGTCCAGAATACAAATTTTGAAAACAGAAAAATATCAGTTTCCAACTATTTGAAGAATTATTACAACTTGTCTAGATACAGATAGTCTGCCTTGCTCCCAAACATTCTGAGATGATGATGATGGTCCAGCAAAAGCATCAGTTGGGGGCCCAGCAATCTTGAGAATGAATGGAAAAAAATTAGCAGTCCAGAACAATATAAAGAAAACCCTATCCACCCACAATGAGAGGAGAGCTCCCCAGGCAGATATACCTTAAGGGTAGCGGTTGAGTTGGCTCTTGAATAAGGTGTTCGTGCCATATTATATATTGCTGATCTACCTCGAGATCTTGGTGTGACACAGCCATTTCCAAGACCTCCAACAAAACCAGAAGATCCCCTCATGAGTGACATAACTGGTGATTTGGAAGGGAGTAGTCTACTGTTCAGAACAGATAGATCATCCTTATGTACTTGACTGCGCAAACTGGGTGTTGATGTAGAAACTTTGGAAGGTCTAGTATCCATGTAAGCTTTTGCAAGCTCTGCAGGTGATGCAACATCTGCATCAAGGGCCTGCAGACATTTCAACCACCATTCATGAAAATATATCAGGACAACAATTTCATGTTCTATTTTCCAAAAAGAACTTAAGAGAGTGTTAACTGTAATGTAAATTTAAAGAGAATAACCTTTGTCACATTTGAAAGAGAAACAGGAGTTGAGACAGGATGTTTCTCAGTTCCATTTTCTACTAGTTTTACTTCAGACCTCTTCTTTTCAGTCCCACTAGCATTATCAACAGTCCTTGAATGTAAAAGTGTGGTCAATCGATCAATCTCAGCTCTGTATCAATGTCATTAAAAAATATAATGTTAAATAACCACAAAACAACAAAAATAGAACTGTAATAAAACCCTCAAGACACAATTCGGTTCTTAAAAGTTAAATCTCATGGCAAATACCATCAAATGATCAATCACTTTTTTCTTGGATGAATAGCAAGGAATTGAAGGAGAGAAAAATTCTCTGGTCAAAGACAAAACAATTCAAGAATCTTGAAACATGAACCTTTTTGCACACAAAACAACAAGAACGAAGCTAGGCATGATCAACAATGTCTAAAGAAATCATTTTGTTGGTTTTATCTTTCCAGGTGAAAAATTTAGCATATTTTTTAAAATCAAAATCTCATGCAGAGAGTAACATGCAGAAACCAGGGAAGCACAGAATACATATTACTGCATTCTCCTCAAAACATGCTACATAACTAGCAATTTCGGAAGTACTTCAACAAAGGAAAGTGATTCATAGAACATCTTGCCTGGTGAAAGTCTTCTGCTTTAGTATATGCTCAAGTTTAGTAAATTCACCTCCAGTGTGATTAGGTGGATTATCACATCTATCAAGAGCTCCATCTTGCCTGGCCAGGGAGTCCTTTGTTTCAAAATTCAAATGAAAGACAGCCATATCAATTTGATTAACCCAGAACAAAACCAAATTCGGAGGAGAAAACCATAGCATGCAAAAGAAGATAGAAAAAACCTATATAAGAGAAACTTCAACCACCTAACATACACGCCCAATATAAGTCAGCCATAACACTTACAGTTGAAGCTGCTTCTTGATAATTCTCCCTTGTTTCCTGGCTTGTCTCTGGTAACATTAATTCACAGGAATTTAATGAATGGAAAGTAACAACCCAAACCCACTCCACATAAAGAATAAGATGAGCTTCAAAGATAAAAGACCAAGAAAGTCACCTATAAGTGACAAGTGCGTCCCATGCTCTTTGCAAACTCTGGGACACACTCAAAAAATTTTGCAACGCTGAAGTGAAGGAAAATGCAATACGTACATTAGCAGCAGAGTAGATTCTGCAATACATATTTCAAGCAAGCCCTATCCTACAAAATCCCCATATGTTTTTAATATCTTCTTAGAGTTTAATTCCATATGAAATTGTCAAGAGCATGGCAAATTCCATTGTTGTAGTTTAAAAGAAAAATACGGTTATTATGACAACAGACATAATACTTTCACAAAACCCTAACTCCCCAACCAAACCTCATAACATCACTAAACCACCCGAAGCAGACATAAACGAAAAAGAGGGAAGCAAAGAAAAACACTTGAGAAAACCAAAAACAAAAGTTCAAGTACAAGTGTTCACCTGGTTCCGGCGGCTGAGGTGGAGGAGGCGGAACAGGGAGGCGTTTCCGAAACACAGAAGCAAAGAGCCTATTAGCACTGTAAGCAATTAACCTCTGCGCCGGATCCACCAATTTTGATAACCAGCCATTGCCGTTGCCAGTGGCAGGATTTCTTATTGCGATCGGCGGCCGATCGTACGGAGTCGACTGCGTAGTCCTTCGAAAAGGCCGCTTCTTGAACTTCCCTCCCGCCCCTAACCCACCATCATAGCGGCTGCTCTCTTCCCGCGCCGTCGCCATCACAAAATGAAGAGAGAGAAAAGGAAAGCTAGGGTTTTGGATTTTGAGAAATTTCGTCGAAGAGAGAGAAAAGCGAATGGCTAATTAGGGTTTTTATTGTATTTTGCTCAGGAAAAAAAGAAAAAAGAAAAAAAAAAACTCGGGAGGGGGGGAAGGAGGTGACTAACGTATGTCTACGGAATACATACGGTGTACAACAACGGTATCCGATTCGGAAGTTAGAGTGTAATGTTAAAATAACAGGTCGCTTGCATAATTTAATGTGACAGGCAATACTCTACCGTTCATTATGTTATAGCAGGCTGAATTACGTCTAGCACCTGGAAGTAGGTGAGAAGTTTAATATTCTTTATTTAAATTGAATGGCATTGATTTGACAGTGGTTTTTTTTTTTTTTTAATTCTTTATGGATTGTGGTTTGTGAAAAAGTGGACCCTGGCTCTCGGCAGTGGGATATGCTGACTGCACCCAGCAGTATATGCCTTCCATTTGCCCAGACTACATTTGAATCGGGCCAAGCCTCTAGAGAGACTACTATTTAAAATGGCCAGCATTCAAAATTCGGACTTGGCTCGGGTTGAGAGGAGCATGTGTTCACCGGTTTCCTTTTAAATAAAATCTCAAAATCAAGTTTTATGAATGAAGAGAAAAATATTAAGAAAGTTTTCCTTTTATCAAGTATAACACATTTTAATTCTTAATTAGTTGAAATCCAACTTAGCTTTGGTTAGTATAAAACAATTAAAAAAAGTAAAATCAAAGAATAGAAAATCTACAAATAGCCAAGTTGTTACGTTTCAAGATATTTCGAGTGTTCTGATAACGGGAATATAGATGTTATACCCTAAATCAAATCTTATGAGAATTAGAACATGTGGAGACATTCTAGAGATAGTCTTATCAAAGTTGGGTAGGATAAATCCCACTAGAATAAAAATACCCCAAACACCAATTAAATAAAATTGTATTCCTAGAATAACTGTATTTAAGCATCCTATAAATATCTCTAGGATCAACCTAAGGAGGTAGATTATTTTCCACTATCATTCTCCCTCTATTGTAAACACTCTCTATCAATAAAGATCTTGGTTTCACACCATCTACTCTATTTTTACGGTTAACATTTGGCGCCCACTGTGGGGCTCGGCACTTTTCAATCCACGAATACCACATGAAAAATTCAAAAAATTCATCAAGACCACATAGAAGTATTTCGAGCTCCAGAAGCGAGGACAGAATGAGTGATTCTTCGTCATCAAGGACAAACCCAAGAAATACTGTTAATAAAACAAAACCATCAAATTCAACCATGGCATGACAAATACGGAAGCTTACACAAGACATGGAGGAGACAAGGCAAAGTTTAAAAGTAATCAAGTGAACCATAGCATCCATGAGAAAAACTGCTAACACCTCATCACAAGAAGTAAGGCATGAGCGCTTGTCACAAAGCGATTCCAGGACATTAGAATGAAAAGGAAGAAGCAAGATTCAACACAGGAAAACAGCAATCAAGATGAAAGTTATGTACCTTCGAAACCAACAGAATTAACGATTGAAACGAGTCTGCAACCATCCTCAGCTTTCACTCAATATAATTTTCAAAGCAAAAATGTGATACCTCACACACATTCAAGCCAAAGAAGGGATAGCTAGCAAGTCCATAAGGCCACATTTGCCACAACAGAACCACAAAAGGTAGGAACATAGGTTCATGATGACTATATTGAAGCATTGCAACAACATCTTGCAAAAATAGAAGTAGGCACGCAGAGGTACGCAGAACTAGCACACACAGCTTTAGTAGAACAAGCCTTTATAGACAAAATCATCAGGGAACCTATGCCATCAAATTTCAAAACTTCGCAACTAGTTGAATACGATGGAACTCAAGACCCATTGGAGCACATGCAAGGAGATAGAATGGCAATGATGGTATATGGAGCCTCGAATGCTCTATTATGCAAGCAATTTCTAGCAACTTTCAGGAAAGCTGTGCAAGCTTGAGCTCCTCAAAAGACCAACCATCATCTCCTAACAATCGAACAAAAGACAAGGGAGTCACTAAGAGCCTACATAGCAAGATTCCATAATGAAGCTGTGCAGGAACAAATTAACAACTTACCAGATAAGTTTCATATCTTTTTACAATATTTAAATAATTATTTTCATAAATTTATCAATTATGATCATGAAAGCACTAACAATTTTCTCATGTCTCTAAAGTAATTAAGATAACAAAATCTATATAGCTTGTTTCTGCTCTGAACCTACGCAAGAGAAAATCTTAAGATGATATAATGCGCAGGCGATCTACTACCACAAAGGAATACATGTTTGCAAGACTTTCAGGCTTAGAGTCATATTGCACCTAACAAATAAACATGCGCTTGCAAGAGATGTATAAGCAAACATCTGCCACATGTAAGAATGCACTGGATACCAAAATCTAATAACTCAATTATGATGTGACTCAAATACCTGCACAGCATTATCATGATTGGATAGATAGAAAAACAAGCACTCTGTTAAAAGGTGGAGAATACAACTCCCTCCATATTTGAAGAAGCTTTGTCATAATCACATTCAACCACATCAAATGATGAGTCAAATTCTTCATTCACATGGCAAGATAGACATAAAATTCTACATGCACAAATCTTAAAAGAAAGCTGCAATCCCAGCTAAGTATATTTACTCTTCTAAATAATTTTCTAATTTGCAATCTTAATAATCATGCAAGTTACTATATTTCTAAGAAAACTAACTTTTTTCTTGAGAAACTTTTGGGAGAAAGCCACATAGGCCAAAAAGCTCCGAGCATAGGAATTTAATTACAAGACGCCCAAGTCTAACCAGAGATATGAGACAGAAATGGACAAAAGCAGAGCTTTAAAGGAGCGGCATAAAGAACATGTTGATTGTATGAAACCTGCGATATTGGGCTCAGAGAAACCTGAAAGTACAACAAATATCAAAGCTGATATAGATCTTGAGTTTACCACACATTTGGAGGAATGTTTGAGAGATTATAAAGATGTGTTTGCATGGAGCGTAAGGTTTCCACAAACTTAACATCAACCATCAAATCCTCTACATGTGAAGTTATGGCCAAAACAATAGAAGAAGAAGCTTAAGCAAGCAAAAAGCTGTGAGCAAGTTTGGTGTACATTAAATACCCAAGCAGAAGTTACACAGACAAGCAAAAAGCTGTGAGCAAGTTTGGGTGTACATTAAATACCTAAACAGAAGTTACACAAGCAAAAGCTGTGAACAAGTTTGGGTGTACCTTAAACACCCAAGCAGAAGTTACACAAGCAAAAGCTGTGAGCAAGTTTGGGTGTAC